TAATTAAACTCTTAACTTACATTTAAAAATTAAAATCTTATCATATTAAATGTTAATATATAAATTTAAAAACTTATTATAAATTCTAATATATCAATATTTCATAAAATAATTTTTTTAATTTTAAATTTAGTTTTAGTTAAATAAAATGATGTATTTTAATATTAAAACTCTAATTATTTTTAAGTCAGGACTAATATACACTTTTCTTTTAATTTTTTAGTATTTATAATTAATATGTTTTTAAATTAGTTTTTATGTATTTTAAGATTATTTTATTTTTTATTTATTTTTTGGTTTTTCCTATATTTGTTTATAATTAGTATAATAGTTGATATTTTTTATTTAAAAAAATAAAATTAACTTATAAAATGATATTTTTAAATGTTATAACTAATTATTTTTAAAAAAAATAATTATAAACTAATAAAATCAATTAAATCAAATTCGTCTACTAAATTATTTGTGATCTTAACAAAAGGCTAAGTGATAATAACCAAGTTCTGTTAGGGGTTATATAGTTAAATCTTTTAGACTTTTCTAAACTTTCTTCCTTATAAAGTTATTTGCTTGTTTTCATACATAAATATTACAATAAAAATGATAAAATTAATATTTTTAACCTTTTTTTTTTCTTAATACAATTCTAAACTCTTTTTAAAATTTTCCCCACACATTTTTAAGGAAAAAAATTTCCTCCAACTTAATACATATAACTTACTTAACAATTTTCCTACCAACTTTCCATATACCAATTTCTTACTAAACAAATAAAAGTTATCAATCAAATAAAATTCTAACAAAGTTTTATTATAAAACTTATTAATTTTTCATACATAAAGTACTTTACTAATTGTTTTTCAAATAAAAACTTTCATAACCCTTTAATGATATAGGCTCTTAAAAGCTATGGTCTGGGACCATTGAAGAGGTGTAATTGACTGATTGAATCATTCCAAATTCACAGAGCTTAAGTCAAAGCTTTTTGAATTTCTTGTAAATTATATAATTGAGAAGGTAATTTGTGTTGAATTATATAAAGTTCACATGTGAGTAGAGTTGAAAGAAGTGTATAAAATTTCATATTAATAAAAAGTATGGTGTTAGAGTGCAATATATACATGGAATGCTATTAAACGCTCCCCAACAATTTGATGGGTGAGGCAAAATTGGTTTCTATTTAAGGATTCTAGTTGATGATTGTTAGATGCTTGTAACTGTGCATTATTATTATTATTATTATTATTATTATTATTATTATTATTTTGTATTTATGATTAGGGTGTTTTAATTAAGGGTGCATCTTCACATCAATTTGATGCATTTAAGAAACTTAATACATTTGAACTCTTAATATAGTTTGCAAAAGGGCACTTATCAATAAATCTAACCACTAAATTGACCAATACTTAATAAATGAATCAAATGAGTGGAGAGAGGGAGATTCATGGATATTACTTAGCCATCAAAGTTAATTTGTAATGCTGTGGGTTTGTTTCTTAAGATGGTCATACAAGGATGATGCTATTAACATTATTTTCCATTAAAGTTATTACTATTATCATATTTGAAAGGAGAGTTGTGGGTTATGGCCTTGTAAATTTGATACATTCATTTGCACCCTTCGGATGAAGCAACATTTCCTCCCTATCTTCTAACAACTTGTGTGCCTTTTAGCAGGTACTGGTAACTCATTCTCTACTTCATGTTCACTTTATTCCGTATTTGGCCTGTCTTTTATCTCAGCTGATGAGAATACCTTATCTTCCCTGATGCTTTAACAGACCCACTTTATACTTCATTCCACGATGAAAAATGAGGAGTTCCCGGTTCCAATTCAACATGACAAGAAGTTGTTTGACCTACTTGTTTTTTCGCTAGCATTCTCAGAACTGAGCTGCCCCGCAATACTCAGTAGAGGCTTCCCACGTTCATGCAAGTGGCCGTGACCCAGGAGGATTGTTAACGATCATCTATATATAGCAGATTGGTTCAGATATACCGTGAATACGCTGCAAATGCCAGAAATGATAGTGAAGCCCAAGATTGAGGAGACAGAGAATAAGATACTGGCTAATGATTTAGATAATACATCCTTAATTATCTTGGTAGTTGAATGAATGAAACAAGTTCTTTTCTAACCACACAAATCTTAGCAACGAAAAGATTAACCCCGGCGAGATTAAAGTTAACCGAGTGAAGAATTCTTTCTGCCTATATAAAAACTCTTGTTTACTTAAATCGGTGATCTTTGCAGAGCCTACATTGCATGACGTCTACCGTACTGTTTTTGTAGAGCTTACATGACGTTTAATGTGCTTTCTGGTTTCCTACTTAAATCTAGTTATTATATACAAAGTCAGTGTGGCATCAGACTAAGTACATTTAATGTTCTGATAATGATCAAAACTTGAATCATGACTCTATGATACTAAAATTTTTCCATCCCCCTACCTCAAATTGTACTTTGTTTGAAAAAAAATAAAAATAAATAAATAAACATAAAAAGTCATTGTGGGTTAGGGATTCTTTTGGAGTGCTTTTTATAATGGGTCCTGAAAATTTATATCCAAAGGAACATGAATTGTTGCAGTGATGCACTGATGCGGCGATATTAATTTATCCACATGGCTAAAATCAGATGACATCAAAATGGAAGGATAGAGGCTGAATTGACGGGAGGTACAGGGGATAAAACTCAGAAGACATCAGAGAATTGACATAGCTGCACATTCTACATATTTAATTCCCCTTGTTGTTCCATTTCTTTTGTTATAAATAGATTCGTATGCAAGAGAACATGAGATTTGTCGGGCGCTGCCAATCCAAAGACAGCCTTCCCTTGCCTTTCCTTTCCCTCTTTGTTTGACCAAGATGGCAGGAATTCAATGAATCGGTTCAGCAAAAGAATTTTTAATCAAAACTCGATACTGACACAGAACAAAAGATTTTACTTTCTAACGGGGTACATCCATCAATCATACAACGAACTTTGTCCTGTGGCATGATGTTAGAAGGCCTTCAGGTCCAGGGGTCAAAGGACACCTCAAGTTACACAAAAGAACTTAAAACTTCCAAGACTCAATGATACAAACAACTGAAAATAATTTAATTAATTTTGTGAGGTTTTAACAAAGCCTACAGAGAAGATAAAAACACTTCTATCACAAGAAGCATCCCACAGTATCTACATGTAATGCTTGTAAATCACATCTTGCTTACCCCACAATTCAACAAGGGAATGTGCTCTAAACTGACTAAAACTAAAACAAGAAATTTTCACAAAGAAAATGAAAAAGAATTGCAGATTAAAAATGTAACTCCGCCCCGGAATCATTTAGGATGTCCAATTCCCGGTGGATGGATGAAAGGATAAAACTACAGAATGAAAATGCTCTTCAATATATGGCTACCGGAACCACAAACAAGCAGAACAGCTTTTTCTTCCACTTACATGGGTGTTTGCTGAAGTCTCAAAGCTTAACAATGAGCCTTCCCACTTCCAAGTTTGAGCTCTAGATCATCCATTCCCACCTCGTGAATTCTCTCCCCTTCCCATGGCTTTACCTGCATATTTTCGAACTGGAACTCTGCACTTCGTCCATTCTCTTTGATTGCATCATTAGGTGAAACTACTGGGGCCACTGGTTTCACAAGATTAAATGTTGGAGAGGTTGGAGCAAACGCAGATGTAGATGGTGCAAACTTTTGAAAGCTTATCCATTGACCAGATTCAACGGTGGATGTATCAGACTCATCACATTCAGGTATAGTTGCAGGGGCATGGAACTGACGATGAGTTGGGCTAGCAGGCGCAGACACAGCATAGAGAGGGTAATTGAAGGCTGCCATTGATTCTTTAGCAATGGACTCCCAATTGGGTATTAGCTTTGGATTTCTTGAGGTCGGGGAAGACAGAGGTGGGGTTACAGGGGCACTGTTTGAGATTCTGAGAGGTGGTAGGGATGCGGGAATGGCATTACGAAGGAATGGGAAAAGGCTAGATGGGTTGTTGACATCAAGCCTTGATGGGCTGGGAAAGGAAGAGGAGGAGGGGCTGACCTGGTAGGATGGAATGGGGCTGGGGAAAGCTGAAGATAGAGGACTTGGATTTTGGGAAGAGAATGGGGTAATTTTGGTGGAAGTGCCTGCAATATCACTTGGAGGTGGCCTGCATCCCTGGATGACAAATACAAGTAAAAGCAAAGATGTTAAAAATATCAGACAGATTGACAGAAAATGTTCTTTTGTTGATCAAAAGAGAACAGACAAGAGAGTGAAGACAACCATATGATGACAACAATGAATAGCCTTTTTAGGCACTTGGGTAGCAGAAGCAGCAGAATCACAACCCTACAAACTAATCAAGCAACAGTAATTTCATTTTAGTTGCAAACCCAGATCAAAATCAGATTACCAGCTCTAGTTCAAGCACATCAAATCCTTTTCTTTTTCCAGTATTACAAAAAAGGGGAAAAAAAATTAAACAATCTGAGAGCAAGAAGATGCAAATCACCCAGCTAAAATTTTGTTCAACAGACACAAGTCCCCTATTTCATTGAATTTAAGATCAGGTCAGGAACCCAGAAAGTAAAGTCAAACAAAAATTGAAGAGCAGAACCAGATCGAACTAATTTGATTAAAAAAATGACGAACAAAAGAAGAAAATACAGCACATTTCGTGTAGATCTATGGTTCTACCAAAAACAAAAGAAAAAGACGAGCTACATACCTTGCGGTAAGTGGTTCCATCTTCTTCCACGATCCACCCGGCCTCCAAGCAGAGAGCTTTCAGGACTTCATTGTTGTCACAGTGTTTGGGCAAATTGTAATTCCCTTGAGCCCTAAGTCCGGTGTATATCTTGGCAGCTATAGCTCTCCTCCTCCTCTCTCTCCTCCGGTTGTTCTCCCTCTCCCTCCACGATGGCTTCCTCCGAGGCGCTGAAGTAGACGTCGCGCCGTCTGACGTCATCTCCCTCCCTCCCTCCGACTCTCCTCCCACCACTCTGATCTCTTCAATTCCGGTGCAGGTGTAGCTCTGGCCGCCGAGTTGCGTCGCAGGGAATTTAAACCCAAGGTGGAGAGAGCTGCCCACGAGGAATACGCTTTCCCTCCCTAGAAGAGTAGAAGAAGAATCTCTCGCTGTGTGTGTGTGAGCCAAAAATAAAAAAGAAGCTCTTATTACAGTTTTCCTTTTTTGGGAGATGATATGCTGCACCGCGGGTACAGGGAACATTAGGTTGCGTGGAATGGATCGAGGCTTGAAATTTTTGAGTTGATCAAGTGCGGACATGATCAACGGTGTTCGTGTGGGGGGTGCTTGGTCAAGCATGTGACAGGTGGGGTCGGCATGTGAGTTCAAGTACGTTTTTTTTGTTATGACCAAATAATTACATGGTGGGCCCCGTGTCGTTTTGGGTGGGGCTCATCCACATAAAACCGTATCCAGTTAGCCACCATCACCCTTCTCGATTTTCATCACGGCATTTGGCAGCGCCTTGCCAAGAAAAAGGCTTGTTACGGTTAAACGCAATTGTTGTGAAGGGGTAAATTGATAATTAAACTACAAGTCACATGCATAATTTATGCTAAAATAAAATCTCTACAGAATAACTTGTCAGAGTTAAATTGATTAAATATTATACCATCACTTGTTACAGTCCTGTTGCTGCCCAAAAAAAAAGGCCTAATCCTGTAGTCCAGTTTCCTGGAGCAAAATCTATACCAACCAGAGGCAGAGCTTTGCAACAGTTTCGTGGCAGGCGCAACGCTGAGCATATTCATGTTTTGCAGCATTTTAGCATGGAAGGTAATTGCAGATTTCGTGAAGTATAATTTTCTGACCACAAAGAAGATTGGGATATGGTCCCAAATGGAAGCTTGAACAGGATAGCCTTCACCTGATTCGATTAACAGGTTCATCTCTCAGAAAATATCTTGTGTCCTGAAAGTGAAGGGGTTCATTACCCCAGGAAACCCATCCAGCTATCATTTCTCTGGCAAATAGTTCAACACATCGAGCAGGTTTAACCCCTGGGACAAAATCCAGCAGCAATTCTACAAATGACAAGTGAAAATGTTGAAGCATTATTATGGCAAACACAAAAACTGGTCATAGACTCGTAATAATGCTGATACAAGTAACTGATATGCAAATGCAAATCTTAGTACTTTATCAGAACACTACCTCCAATTGGGGGCTTCCTTGAGTAATCTCCTGGAATGCTTATGATGACTTGATTGTCTTTTATGGGTGTGAATTCTGCAACGTGTTCATATCTTTTTATCTGCAATATCAACATCTTAGCCATCAAAGATACGAAGAATTCAGGCAAGAGGAGTAAACAATTGAAAACACGCTCATTGCAGGTGCATAGGCTAACCTTGCCACTGCAGTATCCCAAAAGAAGGCACTCATATGGTCTATGATGAAAAAGGTCCAAATCACTAATCAGAGACCCGTCTACTTTTACCTGCAATTCTCATGTAAAACCCAATCATCATTAGTATTATAACTTCCAAACCAGTGCTGGTGAACCACAACACATAAGCAGAGAGAGAGAGAATCACCTTCAACCAGTAAAAGGTAGCCAAATATCTCACCCCCCATGCAGGGAATAGCTCTTCCTCAACAAACTTACGCAACTTCTCTCTATTTGTTACCCATAAGGCTACAAGTGCACCATCTGTGTGGATAAGTTTCTTAATGGGAAGGGATAAGAAGTACCGGTTTGGCAAAGTTGGATACCTGAAGCCACAAAGGAAAAATGTGAATACATTTATGTACAAATTCTGCTATGTGATGGGTTGGTCTCTAGAACTGTTAGGATTAAAAGAGTGCCATGGAAGATAGTAGTTCTATGAGATGAATTCTTGGTTTGCCTCTTTTCAAGATAATAAAATTGTCAAGTTAAGTAATGTAGACTACAGCAGAGCAATAGGAAAATGCCTCCTTTCCCAAGTATATGAGTTCTATATGTGAAAAAGACATTCAAAATGAAGTTACAAGAGAGTCTTCAGTCATACAAAAAAGCCTGTAGCAATCAAGTTTGGAAGCCTTTGAGGCACTTAATTATTTGATACATACGCTGATTTCTGACGAGCACTCCCATTTTCCCATGGTGGATCAATGACTATAAGGTTGAACCCACAATCAGACTCCACTGCACGGAAGAAAAGAAAAAAAGGGATTATCCATAATCTGACAATTTTGAGTAGAAAGAATTTTAATAGATTAACTAATAATTCTTGAAGAAGATTAAAAATATCATATATTTGATACATGAAAATCCATGCCATGGTTCACATTTTCTCTTGATGCTTGCAAAGACGCAAAGTAAAATAACAAGATATGAACCTCCCCCTTTCCTAGTAAATTGAAAGAAAAGGAGGATTGTTATGGATTTTTATGATGATTAGGGAAGTTTCGATTTCTAGCATAAAGGATTCATATGAGAACACAAATGATGCTCCTTGTCATGAACATGACGTCTATGAGCTAGAAAGTTCCCAGAAATAAGGCACATACTGGATTAGACCCTCAATTTTCATGACAAGCAAACAGGGAAACAAACCCAACAAAATTAGTGGAGTTGTATTTACCAGGAATGAGGTTGTGAATCTGTCCCAGATCAGACTTCCGCATGACAAGAGACAGAACATATAAAAACTTGTAAGGAACACAAGAAACAAATCCAGACACTGAATATAAAAGTATCCTTAATATGATCCTAATGTCACAACTCAATAAACCTAAAATCAGAACTAAAACATTCCATCCACAGATCAAGAGTCAGTTCTTTCAGAAATCAGATTATCTAAGGAATATATCAAGAAATCAGCATACCATATAGAAGGAACTTTGTCCAGGTAAAACATAATGCCTATTCAGAAACTCAGCCTCTACATCATCACATGTCTCATTAACAACCAAGTTATTGAATATCGGAATCTCTCTCTTCTCGCTGCTTTGATTATTGTTCAACAAACCTGAAAAACAAGAGAAATAAATCAATCTACACGCTTTCGAAAGCTCAAGTTTAATACAAAACTACTTCGACAAAGAATTGAGTCCAGAGAGTAACCTCCATGACCGCTTGAGTCATTATGCTGATTAAAATTGAGAGTTATTTCATAAAGAGGAGCCTGCCAAAGCTTTCCAAGCTCAACAAACGAATCTTCGACAACGGAACACGATTCGTCACTACTTTCCATTGATGAACAAGAACAACTCCTTAATTTACTCAAAATTGATAAAAGATCGGCAGCTCCAAGTAAAGACTCGTGCGCTTTTAACAGCCAAGGTCTGGCCTCCTAAGAAAAACAGTTAAATTTTAAGAAAAACAATCAAAAAGCACGTTTATAGTCGGTGTCCTGATTTCCGATGAATACCTGGTGGCGTTGATCGGCGGCGAGTTCTCTTACATTGAGAGACTGAGGCTTCTTCGGTTTCCGTTTCCTCTTCCTGGAATCGGAGGCGACGGCGGATTCTGCCGCCAGGCGTTTGGGTTGGAAGGAACGAGAGTAGTAGGCAGAAGGAGAAACCCTAAATCGAGTGTAGGATCGGTTGAGCACACCAACAGGATCCAGGAAAACAGCATTCGAATTCGAGAATCGATAAACACCAGAATCCAGAAATCTCGATAACTCACCGCTCGATTTCGTGTCCGCCATTTTCAAAGCTCACTTCACCCATCAGCACCAGTATCACCGGCATTACTCCCATTTTTAAATTTTTCACACTTTCTTTTTCATATGGGCCGGAATATTGGAGCCCTATTTCTCCACTGCAATGGGCCTATAATCTTTTGGTGCTCCAATAAGCCTCAATCTTGGAGATACTAGTGATGGCGACTTCCGAATGATTATTCTAGCATTGCCTGGATTATTCTAGAATAATAAATTTATATCCAAAGAAACAAGGGGGAAAAAGGGGAAGAATTCTAGCATTGCCTGGATTATTCTAGAATAACGTCCTAACGAATTCAGAATTATATATCTCGTCGATCCCATGGCTTTCTTATCTTATCGCTTGTAATGTGGTTGGTGCTTGATATTTCGAGTGTTTGACTTGGTATTTGTTTTCTCCACAAACGCTTTTTAAGTATCTCGGGAGCTTCCATTTTATGTACTATTAATTTCCTTGGAATTAATCAAAGATGATATTTCTTTTCCACATTCTTTCTCCTTTTTTCTTTTATAATTATCCAATGTTTGATTTTGACCACATGAGAAAGAGAGTAAATATGATGCAAAAAAATATTTTCACTTTATGTTCATCAATAGAATATTTTTCAAGAGATCATAAAGAAGTGTTTTTCTTACTAAAAGTCAAAATAAATGATAATTTCTGTAAAAAGTTTGAGAAAATGGCCCCTAAACGCAACCCAAAATTTAAACTAAAAGAGGAAGGCTTTCCCTGTAAAGAAAAGTGGAATCAAATTTTTGATAACATTATTTAAATAATTTTAATAAATCTTTACTAAATTGTAAAAGTATTTAAAATATATTATTATTATTATTGATA